ATTACTTCAACTTTCCCCTTTTTTTTGCATTTTGAAGATACAAATCTGGAAATACACACAACATATATTCAGACAAAATGGAAAATGGTTGTTACAGGTTAGTCTCCAGGTAGCGTTTGATCCCCAGCCTGTCAGAAGGTCTTTTAAGGCTGCTGAAACTGCAGAGCTTTGCAACACGACGAGGACTTTTTCTCTGAGAAGGTTCTGTTAAGCTGCGGAGGAGTCCTGTGTGGGTAACCTGATACTGTAAGGTTAAATGAAGGTATTGAGTTAATAGTAATAGGGTGTTGATTAATTAATTAGGAATTAATTGAGGGGAACTGAGTTATTGAATATGAGACGCTGTCCTTTTCTTTGGCTATGCTCACATTAGCTGGCCTGGTAAGGCTGAGGTAAGTTAATGAGAAGTTTTTTGGACAAAGTCTGCTTACTGGGGGAGGCAGAAGTACTTTGGCGCACAAGATCAAAGGCGGTGTTAGGTTTTGTTTGTAGCTGCCTTCAGGAGTGGAACTCAAATACTGATAGCATTTGCTTAAGCAGCTTATGTATGCAGAGGAAATCGAGCCGTGTTTTGCCTTTAAATTTCTGGTATTTCTTACTGTTCTTGTGAGGACTTGGGATAATTTGTCAAGTAAGCAAGCAGACCTGCTTTTTGTTCCTGAAAAAAACTTTAGGTGGCCTAAGGCAAGTTTAATCCAAATCACTTGGAAGTAGAACTGAACGTGTGGGATGTAAGATCGTGGGGTTTTCTTTGGGGGCTTTTTTTTTTTTTTCCCTTTGGTCAGCATCATTATGCTGACATTCCCTTTCCGATGCCTTCCCAAACAAAGCAGTGAGTGTGCGGGAGTGTGGTGTATCCCGTGGGTTAACCAGCTCTGCTCCGCCCTCCCGGAGGTGCTTGGCTCGATGTAGACTTCACAACCTGATTTGGGGGGGGGGTGTGAGTACATGTTCGGAAGTTTTTTGGTTTTGTTTTTTTTGTAATTAGGCTAATGAGCCTCTTGCTTTTAAATATACTGATGTCCTTTTCCATTTTGCTTCCTAAGAGACCTGTCTCTTTCTGCCTGCTGTTGTCTTCTGTGCATGGTGGCTTTGTGCAGCCTAGTGAATACTGCCGGGCACGAATTCTTACTGCTTAGTTAGGTGAAAAGCTTGAAAGATTTGAATGAAATCAACACGTGACAGCAGGCACATGCCAGAATGCAAGTTGTCCACTCAGCCTTAATTAACTCCGTTGTGATGTTCCCAGAAGGGTCTTTGATTGCATGTTCACGTACTGCATTTCATCACAAAACTGTGTTTAAGTCAGGAAGTGGGTATTTGACTAAGACTGTTCAGATTCTGCCTCGTGTAGGTGACGACTAAGTCCCTTCAGGTTTACTCTCGGCTCTGTCTGCATCCCCCTGCCTTGTTCATTGATCACCTCCCAGTTTGCCCAGTGCCAGTTGGGAAGAAACTGCCCCTATTGGTCGTGATTGCTGCTTCTTACTGCCTAGTCTCTAAATGGGAGATGATAAATGAACGTTTTATCAGTGAGTCTTGCAGCTGCTCGCTAACAGTGGCGGAATGTCCTGCTCCAAGTCCTTCTTGAAGCTGTTTCTGTAACTGCCTGCGTGTGTCTGTCCCCCTCACTTCCTGGCTCTCAGTTGTGACGGTTTTTTTTAAGCTCTGTACTTCTCTTCCTTTCTCCCTGTGAAGGGCTGAAGCTCAAACCAGGACACTCCGTTTCTTTCTGTTCATTTTCCCTTCAAGTTTTATCTCTGTTCTTCCCCGGGGATGTTGTCTGCTGCAGCTTTCCGTTAAGAAACGGGGTCTGCTACCTCCATTGGGAAATTTGAGGTTCATGTCTTGCTGCTGCTGCTGCTCTGTTCACAACCATTGTTACCAGTGTGCTGCTTTAACCCGGTTTTGTCGAGCTGGTTCTCAGCCTCCCTGGGAGCTCCCCTCTCTCCCCGAGAGCTGTCAGGCCCCGGGGCGCTCCTGTGTACGGGGGTGAGCTCAGACCTGGGCACAGGACGGGGTCTGCCGTGGGTCGTGCTTAGAGCCAGGCTCCCTGCTCTAGCCTGCAGCCACCGCGGCAGGGCTCGTAAAGGTGATGACAGCAGGAGAGCTCGTGGGAGCCTGAGAAGGCTGGGTTGAAAATGGTCCCAGTAAACTTTAGTTTTAATCAAGATTAGGCTGCCTTATCCAGTGCTTGCGTTCGTCACCCTGTAGGTAGAGTCCCCAGTCCTTGCTTCCCTCCGAGCTCAGCAGGAGCATCCATCGTGTTAGGAAGGTGCGCTGTAACACTGGTCAGTGCTGTGCCGTGAAACCTGGGTCAGAGAGACGGGCTCTGCGGTGGTGGTGGTGGTGGTGGTGGTGGTGGCGGCTCTGGCCAGGCAGAAGCGCTCTGCTGTCGGCTCCGCTGAGCGTGCCTGCGCTGTGTTCCCGCAGGCGAACGACGCCTACCTTCAGATGGCGATTGGGAACGCCCCCTGGCCCATCGGGGTCACTATGGTTGGCATCCACGCTCGAACGGGCCGCGAAAAGATTTTCTCCAAGCACGTCGCCCACGTTCTCAACGATGAAACTCAACGGAAGTACATTCAGGTACTGTTGGCTTTGGGGATCCAGTAGGTCTGCTTTTGAAGTTAGGGGGTCTTTGAGAAAGACTGGTGTCATAGTTCCGGGTGATGTGGTAGAAAGGTCCTAGAAGTGGACAGTTGCCTTGGGTTGGGTCAAGCGTAACATGGATTTAGTAGTTGGCTCATCCTGAAGGCTCTTCGGTGCTGGGCTGGGAACGGAGTCCAGTGGATTTTCCTGCCTCTTAGCTATTGTGATCCTGCACGGACACCGGGGCAGCGGTGAAGACAGGCTTTATTCTGCTGAGGGCTTAACTCTGAGTTTTAACGTCATGTGTGGCGTGGGATTTCCTACCGAGTCCTTCTGACTATTTCTGCAACCAGACAAATGCATTCATTTTTCAAACATGGCTCTTTAACAGTGTGGGCTCAGAATCCCTCCTGTGCACATCCATACTCCTGTCATGAACGTCTGTGGTTTGTGGAGTTAGTAGCAGTGGTGTTTCTTCTCTGATGTTTCAGCGTAATGGGTGGACAGGTCTGAGGAGACAAGCCTTCTCTCCCTGTGTTGTTAAATGGATTTGCTTCTTGCCAGTTGCAGTTTCGGTGAGATAAAGACCTTCTGGCTGAAGCCTCCGGAGCAGTATTATGAGCTCAGAGCTTCTGGCAGGACCTTGCTGCTGCGGCAGAAGGACTCCCATTGCTTTTCAAGTTCTGCAGATGTCTGCAAGGAGATTGCATGTGAAATGCAACTTTCTGCCTTGTGTCTCTTTGTACTGGGGCTACAAGTATAACCTCTGGGTACTCTTCAACTATAGTTTTTAGTATCATAACCTGAGAAGATACCATTGTGAAGTCAGAGGGAGCTCCAGACGCTTACGGAGCCAACGAATTAAATTTGACCAATTCTTTTGTAAGGTGAAAGTTGGCATGTGGGCTAGGCATCTTCGGAGGTGGGCTCCAGCTAGTGTAATGCTTGCCTGGAAGCGTTGAATGGATGAAATAGCTGATGTTGAACCAGACAGTTTCATTGTTAGTCTGCGTTAGTAAAGGAGTTTGGACTCTGAGGGAAGCTTGTTGAGGGCCTCCAGATGACCGTAACGCTGCTGCTCCGACTTTGGTGAATCCTGTGTCCGTTCGCCCCGCTTCAGCAGACAGATCTCCACTCTGTAGTGTGGCTGGGTCTCTCTTAGCATGCCCTTTGGAAGACATGATGTATAGGAATTCCTCAGTTTGTCCCTTACCTGCTTCCGGGGTTACATCTGTTGGTCAAGGAAATCTTCGTGTTCATCTTCCCGCTGCGAATTTCATATCTGCGCTGCTGAATTACGCAACTTACTGAAGTACCGAGGCAGAGTTGGCTTTAAACGTGTGTGTTCTCCCACTTGGGTTTAGGTATTGGGTCTTGTTTAGCTAGTCTGGCTCCGACTGGAGCATGGAGCACATTGTCTGTGCTCCCAGCAGTAACATCAGGCTAACGTGTTTCTGATGCACAGCGAACCTGGGATTGTAACATCCCAAACAGGGAGTCGTTACGGTGCTAGGACATCCTTTCCAGACGTGCCTGCGTTGAAGAGGCCACAACATCCTCTGTTGAGTCGTTTTTCCCTTCAGTGAGGAGCCATCTTCCACGATGAGGGTCTGATGGCCGGCACGTGACTGCCATCGTGGGGTCCAGTGTCGCTGCTAAATTACGCTACCACCACAGCAGTTTTCTTGGTTCTTTGTTAGACTTCTGTGCTTGACTTGAAAGAAAATAGTCACAGGGGTTCTGTCGTGTTGGTTTTGGCAATCGATGCCTTGAAAGAACTGAAGAGAAGAGTTGACGTTCTGCCTTTCTTCTTGATTGCTCCTTCGGTTTGCCTCCACGGCGTAGGTCAGGTGTGGTGCCACCACGGGGAGGATCGGCCTCTCTCCTCCAGAGAAGTTGTTCGGTTCTTCTCGTAGCCGTGCAGCTTGTTTTGGTGTCAGAAAGTGCTTTTTTGCCTGTAAAATTTGCTATAACGTTACCTTTAATATTCATGTTTTCTTTGAAACACTTGCTGTGATAGTATTGTTTCCTGCCGTGGTGGTGAGGAGGGATTACAGCATTCCTGTGATCCTCCGCTGTGAATCTGTCGCGAGGGACTGAACCTGTGGCCTGTTCAGTTGTGCCGCAGGCTCCTGGTAGCGGAGATAACTCGGCAGGCAGAAAGGTTCATAAAAATTAAAACCCGGAAAACCGACAAAATAAAACAAAACCAACCCCCAAATAGCAGCTGTTTGTCTTGAATTCTTCTCGTTAAGCTTCAAAATACCGTAGACGGTTAAGCTGGTTTGACAGCTGCAGTTTTATGACGGAACTGTCCTTGTTTTGTTCATTCCTAGGGGCTGAAGAGGCTCATGACCATTTGCCAGAAGCACTTCCCAACAGACCCGTCCAAATGTGTGGAGTACAACGCGTTGTGAGGCTCCGCAGCGTCCAAGGCGTGACTCACGTTTTGATCTCCAGCACCCAGAGAGGACTGAGGAGACAGAGGTGGTGCTTGAGCACCAGCAGGAGCCTGGGGTGGGCTTTACGAAAGCATAAAGCAGCAGATTTTCTACAGCTTCCTTTTTACAAGCCCCACTCGTTCAGATTTCTTCTTAAATCTGTGCTTTACGCCGGACACATCCAATATGCAGCGGCGGGGGGGGGGTTGAAGGGGGGTATGAGGGGGGTTGAAGGGGTATGAGGGGGGTTGAAGGGGTACGAGCAGGACAGCGACCAGGGGACAGCGACCACGACCTCGCCTTTATTTCGGTTTGTAATTCAGGGAACTACGGCCCGAGCTGTTCCCGTCGCGTAGAGCTTTGGGTGAGACTCAGCCCCGCGAGGGGCGCCTGCGGAGCTTGTTTTGGCTGCTCTCCCGTTGGGGGCTGATGTGGGGAGGTGATTAGAGGGAAGCAGTTGAATCTGAATCCTGGTTATTTCTGTAAATATGAAGACTTTAATGGCTGATCTCTCATGTGGTATTTATCAGGCGAAAAAAAGAAAAAGAAAAAAAAAAGAGAAAAAAGGTTTATATATTTCTCAGCGGAAAAATACAGCCAGCCTCAGTGCAAAGAGTTTTTGATCTTGAATGCATCTGATTTGGGTCGGGGTTTTTTCTTTTTTTTTTTTGGTAATGACATTTTTAATATAAACCTTCTGGGCTTGGGGGAAGTAATCTTACGGCTCTTGAGGCTTTCAAATCCCATTTTGATACATCTGGAGAATATTTCAGTCTGCTGGGCATTGCAGAGAAAATAATTAGGACCTCCCATGACCACAAACAGTATCTCTAGCAGCCACAAGTCTTTACCGTTGTGCATCTTGACTGGGCATGGCGAAGAAACTCACAGAAGCGATGGTGTCTGGTTCTGCATAAACAGTGAGATATTGGAGCCGCTTTGTTAGTGGTGCAGGTTGAAAGTCTTAGGCTGAAATAATGCGCTTTTTTTTAAACTACAAAAGCAGCGGTACCTCTGCAGCAGTGTTAACGGGTCCCTCTCTGAAGGAGGCCTTCCTGGGACTGCAGCGGAGCTCCAGACAAGCCGCGGATCAGCGCAGTGACTGCTCGTAACTGCCACCACCCGCCGTCGGGAGAATCCAGGCCGCGCGCGCGTCCGGCCCTGCAGAGCGCCGGTGCGGAGCGCGCTGCCCTGCCTCTGGAGGAGCCTCTGCCGTGCGGGCAGTGGAGAGTGGGGGTCTGGTCCTGGTGCCGGGGGCTGGATTCGGGCAGGTGTTGGAGCGTGGTGTCCCCTCCCCGCTCCTGTGAGGCAGCAGGTCTGATACGTCTGGTGGTTGTGAGGTGTGGGCTTGTGAGCGGGGAGGTGCCGCAGCCGTAGGCTGGGTACAGTGTGGGCAGAGCCGCTGCCCGAAGAAACGGGGCAATATTCGGGTGTATGGGTTTGTCCCAGTCCTCAGCTCGGCTGGGAGCGTGGAGCAGGAACCGGTGCCCTCTTCTGGAGGAGTTACCCATCCGGGGGTGTCTGGTGTCCCGTGGCACAGTGAGCCACGATGCTGGGGGATTCGTGCTGGCAGTGAGTTTGAAGGAGTATCTTGGGGAATTTCACGTTCTTCTGGAGACTCTCCGGGTTCTGAAGTGCCTCCTTGGACACAGGATTTCTTCAGTCTGGAGTGTCTGACCCCAGAGGAAGTGGCAAGAACCAAAAGAGTTCAGAAGTAATAAAAATGAGGCTGATGAGACCTATCCGGCACTTGGGGAGGGGCCTTTGGGGAACAGATGGGAGTTTGTGGGGAGAAGCCAGGCAGATGTCATGAGCATGGAGGAGTTTCTTTTAACGGTGGCGTCTGGTGATTTTTTTGCAGTGCTCTGTATGGATGTTCTTCGGAGGCATTATTACAACAGGAAACGTTTATAACACCACAACCTTATCCCTCTCCCCACCCAGAGGATTTCCTGAGCTGTTTCTAAATCTTCATCCTGACCTTAGTTCTGAACTCTTCAAATGATTGAGGGACAATATTGTCCCTCGTTTAGAAGAGCTGTAGTTTCCCTGGAAAGTGCAGCAAGTGGGTAGCCAGCTGTTGGTTTAAGGAGAGCATCGTAACGTCTGCTGCAGAGGGGACTGGGTTCCTTAGGGCGTCTGTGATAGTATTGGATAGATTTTTCCCTCCCACTTGAGAGCTGATTATTGCGGAGAGTTTTAATGATACCCTGAGCACCGGTTTGAGTGGGGATGCGCCTCCTGGAGGGACGTGAATTTGGGGTTGGAATGTTTTAGTCTGGTCGGGTTTTAAGGAATGTAATTTAAGCAATGTGCCTCCTTGCTGACAGCCCCTGAAATACAGCCGCCTTGCTCGAGTGAATCCCATGACGGAAGAACTTTATCCCCTTGCAATTCGTGGAATGGTGCTGCACGGGGAACCGAGGAACTGAAAAGGACTTTCTCACGGCATATCTGTGTAAGAGTTTCCAGCTGTCCAGCACGTGAGAGCCAGCTTCGGCCCTTCGGGGGACCGAAAGCGGGGGGGACCCTGTTACGGCAGCTGCTTTTCATCATCGGTTGGAGGCTCTTTGCAGCTGGATGGCCCCAAATTACAGCTACCAGACCATGATCAAATAGTTAATAATGCCTTTTAGCCAAAAAAAATCCAAAACCCACCCGAATCTGGTTTAGGGACGAGTGGGTGTGGCGCAGCTGTCGCACTGCTTGACAGTTTTTGTGGGGAGGGTATGTTTCAGTTTAGCGATTTAGACTTTTCCCTCAGGGCTTCTCCAGATGTTTATTGCTGATAATTCTTGCATTAGGCGGAAATAACTCCGCTGAACCCAAAGGCTTGTAGCCTTAGGATGAAGTCATGCATTCATCATAGCGATTTGGGGGGGACTTCAGTGCCCCTGGTTGTTTGTGGCAGCCCCTGACCCCTTCCCTAGCCCCGCGGTGGAAGGGGCTGTGCGAGGTGGTGCTCTCAAAGTACGTGATACCTGCCTTGCTTCGGGGTTTTCGTGCCCGATGGAAATTAAATGCCTTTAATTCTTTGTCTGTACTGCTGGAAAGGCTCTTTGGGAAGGTGTATGTGGGACCAGTTTGTTTTGATTGAGGAACTGGGCTCCTCTCCTGCCATCTGCTGTGTAATTGCAGAGCCAAAGCTTGCCCAAAGGATGAACTGAGTTCAGATGGAAGTGGTGTCACTTCTTGGGGGGGGTGTGTGTGTGGGGGGCAGGGAGCACCCCGACTTTCGGACCCGGGGGATGAGCACGGGGCGTGGTGCCCTCCAGGAGGGCTGGCGCAAGGGTGTCGGTGTCGAATCTGGAGCAGGCGGTTGTGAAAGTCCCTCCTGGTGCGTTACACCCCCGGGAGATGGGCCTGTGGCAGTGTCGGAGCCACT